TTGTCTTTTTTTTTTTTTTTTTTTTTTACTAAAAAGCTTTTACGTCGCAAAAATTTTTTGGGCTGCTTCTGGCATATTTTATAGCACCAGGGAATAATGTTTGCTTATTTTCTAATGCAGTTTAAAACATTAAACCAAAAATCTATTTGAAAATGGGCAGCATCACCTTTAACTTTGGCACCACTTTTAAAGACTCTGTCCAGATGTGATTTGCAAATCTTCTAGACTATGTATATTCTGCTTTAATCTAATGCTTTTTCAATTAATAAAAAACAAATTCCTTTTTTTCAGTTCAAGAGCAAACATCGCATTGTGTCATGATTACATTCTGCCACAGCTCATTTTTGACCCAGTGGGAACATATGATTTCCACTTAGGTAAACATCGCTCGTCTACTGCCAGCAAACACTGGGAAAAATACTGAAATGCTCCTTTGGCAACAGTGATTGGGTTTTCAAAGCTTGTAGTAAATCCAGCTGCCTGCTCCAAGACATGATTTATTTAATCAGATCTGTATATGTCCCGAAATTAGCCTGGAACAGGGAGTGCTTGTAGCTGTGACAGAGCAGAAACTGTTTTTATCAACATTCACTGCAGCTTCCTCCAAACACTGTAACTGGGATTCTTTGGCTAGGAATCATGCCACGAGGTCCACGAAGAATCTGAACATGGGAAAAGCCCAAGACTGCATGCTAAACAGTACTTTTCTGTCCTGTACAATAAATGTTGTGCATATATAATGTTCCCACAATGAGAGACTGCCATCCACCTCAAACTGCTATGATAAAAAAAAGAATGCTGCCCAAGGCAAGGTTGGCATGTTAGAGACTGCTACCAATAAAAACAGAACTGCTGCCTCAACAGGCTTTGTTTTAAGAGACTGCTACTACAAAAGACTGCTAGAAAATTGGAGATTGACATGTTCTCAGAGACTTCTGCTAATTAAAACAGGACTGCTGCCCTAACAGGCTTTATGTTGCAAGAAACTGCTACCACAAGGGACTGCCAGGAAATTAGAGATTGACATGTATCAAAGACTGCTACCAAAAACAGTAATGTTCCAGAAGACTATTAGCCAGAGGACACTGCCATCAAACTGCTGAGTTCCCTTTATTTGTAGAATTTGCAGCAAACCGTCTCCTTTCCTGGGCCAACATTGCCCTGTGACTCTGTCTTTTAATTGTGATGTAACGGAGCTGGAGAAATGAGTCGCTGCACTCAGCCCTGTGACAAAGTAGCTGCTTAGCTTTGTACTGTGCAAAAAGGATTTGGATGACCCTCACTTGTCCCCTTCAGTCTGCTTCGAACAGTGTGGCACTCTTAAAAAAATTCAATAAATGTTGTCCCTAAATAATGGCAGGCTTGTACACTGGTTTTGTTATACATAATCCCCTTTCCCCAAGGCTGAGATTGGTGGCAGTTATTAACCCTGTTTTGCTGACATCTTTACGCAGCAGCCACCAGTTCTTGTACTATTTTGTCATGTTGTAAATTCTGATCCTGTAAGTGGTTTGTTAGTTTTTGGATTTATTGTTGTCTGTTTTATAAAGACTGTAAATAACAAATACAAATGTTTGACCTTATTCAATTGTGTCAGTATGTCAAGGCCCAGAATCACATTAGTAGTGGCAAATAACATTATATTGAAGCGTGTGTCAATTCATATTCACTGTGCAGCATGTAAAAAGGTGGAAAAATGATCCTTGCCTCACATTAATGAAATATTGATTGAGCACAAAAAGCCATTCACATGCAGCTCTGTATCTTTCTAGGGCATTCTGAGTGCCCGCGTGAGCGATTCCTGGCACAAAAGAGGATGGCAGAGGGTCACCAGGGATATGAATTGCATTTGTTCTCCTTATTAGCTTGTGTATGGGTCCTTATTGTTCAGGGCTATTACAGTTCTCTAGTCTTACTTTCAAACCATCCATGAAGGCAGCGATGATAATCCCTTTAGCTGTGCTTATTACATGAATTCCTTCCTTAAAGAAATAGTTGCTTATATCTGTTAAGGTAGTTGGCAACATGTTAAAAGGAGATTTTGCTAGCGTCCCCCCCTCCCTTAAAGGAGGCAGCATCTTAGACAGGACTTGCCATGGTTTTCCATTTGCATTTATAAGGTCCATTTTTGTTGCATGATTTTCATTCATTTTCATTGTGTGCAATGTGTTTTTGTTTCAGCTAATGAATGGGGGAAAAATATATAGGGGGTGGGGACTAGTTGCCATGCACTAAAATGCATGAACATGCAGGTTACATGCATTTTCATGCGCTCCTACTGAAGTCTATGCAATGCACTATGCAGCACCAACATTGGCATCTGCACCTTTGTTTAAAGTTGCAATGCAGCGCATTACATAGCTGAGTGATGGTAGCATAGATGTGACCGTTTGTTCATGAGTCGCATGGTTCTTTGTGTGCATTTAAATGTCATAATCACAATATAGCCTTTTAATACTTCTAGCTACTTTCCCTCCATGCATGTGCAGGCAATATGGTTTGCATTATTTGACACCTTTACCGGCTTTCTTTGTAGGCTAGAGCATGAAATATTCTCTCCAGTAATTGATGTCCTCACAAACTTTGCCCGTGTCTTCCACAGCTACAGATTTTTTTCTAGATCACATATACTCAGCAAGGATGTGCTTAGGAAGTAGTATGGCCATATGCTCAACATTTTGACTCGGTCTATACCCAATTACCAATTATTTTAAGATAAAAGTAAGCTTTGTACCAGAGAGGCCACGCTTTCTTGAATGCAGTTAGTTAATATTTAAAAAAGCTTTCCTCGTAAATGTAAAGAAATATACAGTTTGACTTTTTTGTGTGTGAAGGTGGTTGTATTTTACATGATATGATATTTTAATGCTGCTGTTTAACTAATATTGAGAGTCTTTTGGTGTTTGTCATACAGGTTCCCTCGCCTTGCCAACCAGCATGGCTTACTTTGGAAGTTCCCAAGATGATGAAGATGTTGAGGATGATGATATGGAACTTGAGGACACCAAATTTTCCACCACTAACAGTTCATCCTCATGCCACTCAACACCTCGCAAAGGAAAATCACATAAGCATGTCACCAACGGACATGGTAACTGTCAATTAAACTACAACTTGATTTTAGTTACTAATATTAAAAAAATGGAGCTATATGTATATTTGTACAGTTACGGTATGATCAGGGTTCCAGTTTCACATATAGTCAAAGCTGTAGTGCATCAGTTCCCCCACTTCATTTTGTGGAGATCTGGGATTTTTGCTTAAAATGCAGAAAAGGAATTCCCAAACAAGGCCACCACATAGTACTTGTTGCTCACTTTTAAAAAGTCTGGTATTAGTAGTAAAGTTGGAAGTTTGACTTTGGTGATAATCGCAAGCAGGAGGAGAGGAAGTAGCATAGAACAAATTTGGGGAATCGGCCCTGTGATCCCCCATGTTAGGAGCTCTGTGTCTGCAATGGATTATTGAGCTGAAAGTAAATTATAGGAAAAGTGCACTTCATAACATGGAGCACTTATCCTTTTTTGCCCCCTTCCCCTTACCTAATAGATCCCCTCCTCTCCCTCCACAGATTTATACTTACTTGATCTGAAGCCCACAGGCTGTGGGGATTGTTTACATCCCAGGAAGCAAATGGCAACCGTATCAATTTATAACCAGCCTTTGTAGCAAGGTGCACATGGAAAGGCTTACAGCACTACAAAACAAAAATCCCCAGCACACTTGCCAACTAGCCTGCAACAAAACAAATTACCCTGTCTAACAGTATGCGTTAAAAGCAGAGGTTTTAGTTGCACAAACTTTTGGCCAAAAATATCTAGAAGCCACACTGCCTCGTCAAGGCACCTCTGTGAAGTGGGGTCCTAACTCTATTTGAGTCTCCATGTAGAGCATATTATGCAGTCGATAAATTTAAATGCAGGTGTACCTGGAGGTAGCCTACTCCTCAAAAGGTGCAGGGACCTCTGCTTTTTTATGCATACTGTTAGGCAGGGTAATTTGTTTTGTTGCAGGCTAGCTGGGAGGTGTGCTGGGGATTTTTTGTGTGTTTTGTTTACATCCCTGGGCACGCCTGTGCAGTATATACTTCTATGGGGCCCCCTCTATCTTTGTCCCCCAACGGAGTAATGAGCCATATAAACCTCTATATGGGGTCTACTCGAGGCTTGTATGCATCTGTGAAGGGGGAGGATGAGAGCTGTTAGGTCAGGGGTGGGGCAAAAATAATAAATGCACTTTTGTCTGACAGTGGACTATTTGGTTATTAAAGTAGACTGTTTGATTTCACCACAGGTGCATTGTTTTCTAAATTACATTGATCCTTTTTTGTTGTTGTCTAGAATTGCTCTTTCTAGGGAACTTGTGGCCAGGTTATGAGCATTTTACTATTTACATGTTCTTAAGAAAAAAGAAAACAAGCTTTGAAATTGACCTTTCTGAGCTCTGTAGCTGCAGGCACTATGGAATAGTTCAGCCTCAAAGTTCATAACAAAGGCACTTTGGTCTGGCTATAGTTAGCCTTGGCAGATATTAGCCACTCGGGAGTGCAGTGTTTTCATTAATTTGGTTGACTCTTAGAATTGGCATTGTAAGTAGGAGCAGAAAAGTACAACTATTGAAGCCAAAAGTGGAGCCTGGGTGTATAAGACCCACGAATGACTGTACATTTATAATTCCAAACTATGCATAGAAATAAAGTTTTTCAAATAACCCTATTGATGAGGTTCTCTACAATAACCTGTTCTTTACATGTGTATCAAAAACCATTATAAAGACTTGGCATTCCATTTAAATGTTCTATGACGATTGGTTTATTGTTGGCCAAGCTGTATCTGATCACCCACTAGAGTTTCCATATATCCCAAACAAGAAGCTCAGAGTTCTTCTTTATGTGGCTTACTAACAAAACTGCATACTTCCCAACTGTCCCCCTTTTGGAACCAAATCCCTTTGTCCATTTTTCCTTTTCGGTTGTCCCTCTTTTTGGTCTGATGTACAGATATCTATGAAAATGTACTATTTAATTACCAAAAGTGTTATTCTAAACTACAAACAAAAAGTAATAACGAAAAAAACCTATCTGGGTTTAACCAATCTTTATTGGCATATAATTTCTTAATGGTCTGCATAACGGGGGCATAGAAGGGGTGTATCTATTGCCTTAATGCACTGTGCTGGAAGGTGTCTCCACTTTCATCTCAGAAAATTGGGAGGTATAACACTGGTCACTACTGCTGTTTTTGTATGTAAAGAAGAGAAAAAAAAAGTTGCAAACAGTTGACAGCAAAATCAGATGTGAGAATACTGAAACAGATACTCTGAGATGAGGCATGCAGAGCCCGCTGACTGTACAGGGGCCTGCACCAAGCCGATAGTGTTTGTGGTTAAACAGTCACTATGTTGTGCTGTCCAGTAGTGAAAGCAGACTTGTCCAGGTATAATTCTACTGATAGTTCCAGGGTATGAGTAGCTGAATCTGCACTCAAGTAATGGACAGTGTAGTCATTTCTCATTACACCTAACAATGTCATTATGCTTCTTGTTTAATTTATTTGTTCGGTTTAAGTAGAAAATACATTTTTATATCAGTTAGAATTAACACAAGTTACAAATTCATGGTTGCTTATTTTTCTTTTTTAACCAGTTGACATCCGCGGTGTTAAACCCCCTTCCCATCCAGGCCATTTTTCAGTATTCAGCGCTGCGGTACTTTGACATTTATTCCGTCATGCAGCGCTGTACTGAAATTAATTTTATACCCTTTTTTGGGGACAGATAGAGCTTTCTTTTGGTGGTATTTATTCACCACTGGGGTTTTTATTTTTTTACTATATTAAGGAAAAATTACCGAA